AATGGCATTTAAACCAAATGGGGACTCAACTTTTGTCCCCAAATGCAACAGTTGTCCCCAAATGTAGACATTTAGTCTTAAAATTGCCCCCAAATATCACCAAAGCCGAACCCACACATACACACGGATCAGTGAAGTGGGGTTGGGAATAAACGTCAATCCTCCTTTTCTTCTAATATATGGGATTGTTTGTAATATTCTTATTTTTCTTTTTTGTGTTTTTTAGTTCAAACTCAACAGGGCCATGTTCATGTTTGACAGACTGAGTTGTTGATTGTTGACATGGAGATAAACCAAAAATCAGATGCTCTTATCAAAGTGTGCAATGTTTCCTGCAGGGGCTCAGAGCTACTGCACATTGAGCTACTGAACTGTGCTAACATTGAAGGATGGCATAGTGTCTGCTGACTCAGTTATTGACTTCTTTAAAATGTTGTTTACTTGATTTTTAACATCTGTCTTGTAAAACTGTCTTCATCCAGTGGGTTCTTCATGCTGCAGCTTTGCAGGCCGTCACACCACATGCAGGGATTACTGTGAGGCCATCTTCAGGACAGACTCCACCCCCACAGAGTCCCAGATCAAGTCTGTCAAAACCTACTGTCAGAGCCAGAGTCACAAGCTGCTGGAGTGTGTCAACAACTTCACAGAGTCCTACCCCGTACGCAGCCCCATCGACAGTACGTCCATCTGGGCTCGTTCTGTTCACACACTGTCTGGACTGACAAACACCACAGCAACTACCTGATAACACTATTGCCTACCTAAAATACCACTGATTAAAACAACAGAGCTAAAAAATAAAATCAGACCTCGATAGGAAAACAAAACAAAAACAAAAAAATCAATCCAACATGGGTCCTGATTCTGATCTGTTTTCTCAGATACAACCCCAAATTCCAATGAAGTTGGAACGTTGTGTAAAACAAATAAAAACAGAATATGATGATTTGTAAATCCTTTCAACCAATATTCAATTGAATTCACTACAAAGACAAGACATTTATGTTTAAACATTCAAAAGCTGGGACAGGGACAACAAAAGACTGGTAAAGTTAAGGAATTCTTTAAAAACACCTGCTTTTAATTCCACAGGTGATTATGTTTATTGGAAACAGGTGAGCGTCATGGTTGGGTATGAAAGGAGAATCCCCAAAAGGCTCAGTCCTTTACAAGCAGGGTGGGGCAAGGTTTATCACTTTGTGAACAACAGCGTGGACAAATAGTCCAACAGTTTAAGAACATTTCTCAATATACAGTTGCAAGAAATTTAAGGATTTTATCATCTACAGTCCGGAATATCAAAAATATCCAGAAGATCTGTGGTTTGTCCTGATTCAGAGAATCTGGCCAGATATCAACACCCAGAAACACAGTCTGCTTCTCTTATCTGGTCTGGGCCCGAGCTCATCTGAGATGGACTGACACAAAGTGGAAAAGTGTTATGTGGTCTGACAAGTCCACATTTCAAATTGTCTTAGGAAATCATGGACGTCGTGTCCTCTGGACCAAAGAGGAAAAGGACTGTCTGTATTGTTATCAGCAAAGTTCAAAAGTCAGCCTCTCTGCTGGTATGGGGGTGTGTTAGTGCCCATGGTATGGATAACTGTCACATCTGTGAAGGCTCCATTAATGCTAAAAGTTACAAACAGGTTTTGGAGCAACACATGCTGCCATCCAAGCCATGTCTTTTTCAGGGACGTCTCTGCTTATTTCAGCAAGRCRATGCCAAGCCACGTTCTGCAGGTGTTACAGCAGCGTGGCTTCGTAGCAAGTGTGGATACTAGACTGGCCTGCCTGCAGTCCAGACCTGACTCCCATTGAAAATGTGTGGAGCATTATGAMRTGCAAAATACAACAACGTAGACCCTGGATTGTTGAGCAACTGAAGTTGTTCATCAAGCAAGAATAAGAAAGAGCTCCACCTACAAAGCTTTAACAATCCGTGTCCTCAGTTCCCAAACACTTATTGAGTGTTTTTAAAAGAAAAGGTGATGTAACACTGGTAAACATGACCTTGTCCCAGCTTTTTTGGAACGTGTTGCTGGCACCAAATTCAAAATGAGTGAATATTTGCAAAGTATCAATAAAGTTTCTTTGTTTGAACAATAAATACCTTGTCTTTGTAGAGTATTTTTAGTGTACTCTATTGAATATACTGTAGGTTAAAAAGGATTTGCACATCGCCATGTTCTGTTTTTATTTGTGTTTTACACAACGTCGAAGCTTCACTGGAATTTTGATTCACTGAAAAAAGGAGCTGGTAKAGAACCTGTCTAACATTAGTGTGCATGTATCAGCTTAATTAACTTGTGCTGTTGTTTGTTCAACCCCAGATTTTTCAACCCTGATAAAACCCTGTGWTCCCTCCCTTCCAGGTCTGTACTGCTGCGACCGGGCGGAGGCCACCCATTGTCAGGTAGCCTGCCGGCGGATCCTGCGCACCATGAATACAGAGCATGAGATCATGGAYGGTCTGATCAATGAGTGCGGCGCCCAGCCCCTCCCTCAGGACCCCATGTGGCAGTGTTTTCTGGAAAGTGCTCACCCTCCTTCCCCCACTGAGGAGATCCCCCATCCAGGCAAGATGGACCTTGCCAAGCTGCACTGCTGCTCCAAAGCGAACACGTCTCACTGCAGGTACCACAGCAGACTCTGCTTCTGTGAGAGAGGTACTTGGTTCTGCAGGACCCGTGCTGTGACTAACCATGTGCCGTGCTCTGACAGGGACATGTGCCAGAGGATCAGCACCCACTGGGGCAGCCAGACGTGGCACGATTTCGACCGCACTTGTGAGTACAACCCTGTGGAGACGGAGCTCATCAACTGCCTGGCAGATGTTGGAGAGCCCTGCCAGTTGGGCTGCAAGGACCTGACGTACTGCACCAACTTCAACGACCGGTCAGAACCTGCTTCTGCTGCTGACGGGGTCCAACTGAGACACCCTGGCTGGGCCCCGAGATAGATATGCTGTAAATAGATGCAGGGCAGGKGCGGTTCTAGGGGCAGGGCCACTGGGAAATTGGCCCCTGCTGAAATCTGATTGGCCCCGTGAAGTGGCCCTGTCCTGTCACTCATCTGCCCTTTGCCTGAGAGCAATGATGGTGGCTGCAGTTCCATGCCCAAACACTAGAGGCACTAATGAGTCAAACAGTAAAGTCCAGCATAAGTCAATCTTACAGAAGTCTTCTTCTCTTCTTTAAAAGACTTAAACAATTTTGCAAAAAATATCTTTCAACTGGCAAATAATGGCTTCRTTTTGTCACATGGTTTGAGAATATTTTATTCATGTACAGTAAAAATGCACGCAACATTGATAAGGAGAATTTAAGTTTTTTTAATAACATTACATTATGTTACGATTGTTGGAACATACAGTATGTGACCGGTTCAATTTATACACCTTACCAAAACTGAGGATTTATGTGCAAGAAAAAAAAAGAAGGCACTTGACCAGCATTAAAGAAACTSTAGAACCATAGCTATAGGTTTGCCTCCTGTCTACACTGCCAATTATCTGACTKACTTTAGATGATCCCTACCAATCAAAGAAAACATCTGGCGTTAATCAGAGGGACATCTGGAAGCAATCTTTAATTCTTCATTTTACGCCCGCACATGCAGGCGATGCAAAGGCTTTTTGAAATCATAGTGTTTCTTGTGACAAATGAATTGCTTTATGAGGGCTTTAATGTGTTTAAAATCTCAAAAGACTTTGAAAACTCCAATTAGTGGAAGATGTTGCTTTTATGAGGGTCTGAAAATGGGTGTGGCAAAATGCGCCATCAGCGCCAATTATTTTGGGAGCATGATCTAGTTTTACTTAAGCTGTGAAATTTTGTACACAACTCACCAATTTACATAAAAAACTTGTAGACTGTACAGCCTAAAGCCCCCGGGAAGTTTTTGTTTGTTAGTTTGTTTTTTAAATCAATGGGAAGTTGGCCAATTGTAACAGAGATGCTAATTCAGGGTCTTGCTCATGTCACTCCTCCAAACGTTTTTGAAATATTGTCTTCAGTCTTGATCAGTATAGTACTAAACTGTGTACGAGTACACCGATTGCAGTTTTCTAGCCGATCACTGACCTTTAAAAAGTCAAACCTGCTGATTCCATTTTTGGCCGATAACCGATTTTTTAAATAGCTGATGCTGTCAGGTGTTATAATGTCACAATACACCTTCAATGTTTCAACCTTATTTTATTGAAAAGCATTTAACAATACCTTTGAAACAATAAGAACGTGTTTTACTGGACATTAGGTAGATCTTACAGCAGAGCAAAAGGGGCCAGTGGTTGATATTCAGACCTTTGTGGAGGTAGATGAGAAGCCAAACATTTCCTCTGATCGTATCGAAGTAACAGCCGATCTCCTAAAATTAAGGACATCAGTGCCAATAAATCGGCCAACCAATTTATTAGCGCACCCCTACTACTAAGGCATAGTAGATTTTAAAAAGCTTGAGTTTTTATCATAGATTGTGGCCATGGCTAGACTTCATAATTGGACTTCTCACCATGAAAGACTAAATTGCTCCAACAGACACATAACATCACAGTTTGGTCCTCAATGCATCAAAGTTTGTGGATGTGGCAAAATAGCGAAATGGTGCCCTCTATAGATGTTTAAACCAGTGGTTCCCAAAGTTGGGGTTTGGACTCACAGTGGGGTCCTGAAACATCAAGGTGGGGTCCTGAAAAATATTTTTTTAAATTAATTACACAAAAAAATGAGAACTAAGAACATTTTTTCCCTTTGTTTTCACAAAATAAAAAGATTAGGGTACTTAAAATGGACAAAAATAGCGTAATAAATAATGTTATTATGCGCTTATTTATTTGACATGAAAACAATRTTTATCAACCAACAACAGCTGGGGCACAAGGTCTCTGCTGCTGGTATTTTGTGGGTCAAAAGCTGAAAAGTTTGGTAACACTGGTTTAAACAACCTTTTCCTATTCCAACACATCGGTGTATGAGTCTGAAAGTTGGAACACTTGTTAAAGACACCAAGGATTACAAAAAAAATCTCCTGCTCCATTGTCTTGAAGCAAACAGGAAGTCAGCCATTTTGAATAGTCATGATTTTAAAGTTTTCAGGCCCTTATATCTAAATAAATTTCTCCTTGAGATGTTYTAATAAGTGATCAGATTCAAACTTGGTCAATACTCTGACATGGAAGATTAAAAATGATCAAAAGCTTCAGTTTTCACCCACATTCTGAAGGTGTGTCTACACTTWGCCACAATACAGACATTTAAAGCAAAATTGTTTTAATGTCAACACAGAACCTCTGATCTGCACCAAAGTGTAAATGTGTCATAGTCTGGTTCTCAACATGTCAGTACTCAGCCATCACTTTAAGCCCGCCCACTGAGAACAGGAAGTTGTGAGTTCTTATCTGACCTGYGTTTTCATAAAATCTTCAAATTTAGACAGAAAACCAATTATGATGGGATGTTCATCTGAAGACATTTTTGAACTGTCCAGAACTTATTAGGGGTGTCCCGATACCAGTTTTTTCAAGACTGAGTACGAGTATTTCAGTTTAGGTGCTCGCCGATACCAATATGATACCAAGTAGCGGGGTTCGCAGGGTGTTTTCCTTCTTTGACGGATTTTGGATGCAAAAATCTGACAGTCATCCTTCATTTTGACAGATTACACACACCTGACCACTTGGTGCTGACATGCAGACAGTTTCAACTTTACACACAGAGAACATCACAGAGCTCACTAAATCAATCAATAAAAAAGAACCATTTCTGTCAACTCTGAGAACTGACGGCAGTGCATTAATGAGTTATGGACAAGAGGCTGTGGAGCGTGCAGCTGAACTGCTGCTGCAGGATGATTCTCCCACTGGTGGGGGGGGTTGTTGGATCAGGTAACGACAAGAGTCTTGCTGACTTCTGATCATTTCAACTGGTGAAATAAATCATCTTACGTTTCAAAAGTCAGAGATAGAGTTAAATGTATTCAGCTAGACAATGACATGGTGTGGATTATCTGTTCAACTTGTTGAATTTTAAACAGAATAAAAAGAGTATCGGCCGACTTTTACGAGTATGAGTACTTGATGCTGGTATCGGTATCGGGACACCCCTATAACTTATATTTGAACAAACACCACCTTAAAATTCAGGAAGTGTTTTTTGCGTGGGGGGTGGCCTCACTTATTGCTCAGTATTATGACACGAGCTGGAGGGTTGCCAGGGTGTGAAGGGCTGTTCATCACTGCTTGCAGCTTTAATTAACATTTGTTCTATTCACAGAATTCCAATAAAACTCTTGTTTATGTGCTGTTCATGTGTGTGTGTGTGTGTGTGTGTGTGTGTGCGTGCGTGCGTGCGTGTGTGTGTGTGTGTAGGCCCACAGAGCTGTTCCGCAGCTGTAACGTGCAGTCCGATCAGGGTGCCATGAGCGACATCAAGCTGTGGTCCAATGGGACAATCCAGATGCCGTTCATGGCCATCCCAGTGCTGGACATCAGGAAGTGTCTGCCTGACATGTGGAAGGCTGTGGCCTGTTCTCTGCAGATCAAACCGTGCCACAGCAAGTTCAGAGGGAGCGCCATATGCAAGTAGGTCTGCTGCTGTAAAAAGTTTAAACAAAATCACTTCAACCACAAGCACAGGCTTTTTTTAAGGGTAAATTGCTCTGGTGGCAATCTGTTGCAGCTAACATCATCATGTTCTGTTAAGTATTTTCTATCAAAAACAATTTTTATGCAAATGCTGTGCTGCAGAAGTATTTACAATGGCATAAAATACTAAAAAAATAACCAATGAAAAGCTGTCCTTGCTGTTAAATTGCCTTTCATCAGAATTATTTTAGAAAACAAACTAATGAAACTGGTCTTTATAAAAAGGCTGTTGCCCCTGACTTAATATTTTGTTGCCTAATCTTTTGAGACATTCACTTTAATTTAATGAATTCTGTAACTCTCTTGAGAYGTCAGCACCAGTCTACGGGTATTTTGGGTCACTCTTAGTGAGCAAACTCAGGTTTGCAGGGTGTTTTCTCCAGACAGCGTGTTTCAGCTCCTTCCACAGSTGTTCAGTAAGATTCATCAGGGCTGAGAGTTATCATTTAGATTCAGTTTGGCATTAATTTTCCTCTTGTGGCCACGTCCAGGAAGGTTGGCTTCAGTCCTCTGAACCTTAAAATGAATATTATGYTCAGTGTGTTGCACRCCATGATACCAAGCAGCCCAGTGASTACATTTTATTCTTTAATTAGACGKACTAATTACAGGATTAAAAGCACATGTGATGCTAATTAAAAGACACAGTATAGTTTAACATGTCCCTGTGGTGAAATTAGTTTCCATGTTTCACCCTCTTTGTGAAAGCCAGTTTCATGARTTTATTTTATTTAAATAATTCTGTTGAACTGAAATTAAAAAGTGATTTCCTTTAGTTGTTTCCTCCCAATTTTTCCACTGTCTGTATCTCTAAGCCTGGATGATTAGGTGACTGAAAGCTCATTATTAATGATTAGTTTGTTTATGACTCCTGAAGTTTCTGCTACTTTTTTCCTTCAAAATCTTTCTTCTTTCCTGTCAAAGTAAATCTAAGCAGCCAGTAATGASTCATTCATGCCTTCACAGTTCTTAGAAACCCTGTGCTGAATAAATATTTCTGAAAGGCACAAGTATTGATATATAATTCAAATAATCAAAATATCAGATTTTAATTCCTCCACTTATTAAAAATGACTTCAGAATGTGTGTGTGAGCTGCAAACGGGCTCTCGTGTTGCAACAGGACCGGTGCTGCAGGATGTTCTGGATGGTTTTGGTGCTGGATTCTTATCTAATCTTTTCTCAGGTCAGACTGTGTGGACATCCTGACCCAGTGTGGGGACAGGAAACGCTTCCATGAAGGACAAACCCCAGAGAGGATCTGTGAGCAGCTGTCTCCCATCGATGACCCTGAGCACTGCATCCCCCTCCACAGATACCTCAGTGAGTTACTGTCCTCTGGGAGGGAGGGAGGCCAACACTTTGCCAGCCAACCTGTTTGTTGYGTACCGGGAAACAACAAACATGTACATCTATGGGCTTTTTAAGCTGAATCTAATCATACTTGTGGTTTGGTTTTAGAGATAATTCAACTCTCCAGTCCACCTCTTCTGCACTTACTGTAAAATTCCTTGAAGAAATATATATTACCTGCCTCTTTTCATGTCAGAGTTTTAATTCACAGTAATAGTAATAATAATACATTTTAATTGAAGGCACCTATCTGGCACTCAAGGCAACAGATATATGCMTRTAAAAACATATAAATACTCAATTACAAGCAGCAACAGACTGAAATGATGAAGTACTGTCAAGGATGACACCCAGACTCRTAATTTAAAGGGAGGGAGAAACTAAATTGTTGTCAAAATGAGTAGAAATTCAGTTCTACCTCTGTTTAGTTTAGGAGAATTAGAAGAAAATAAAGGTTTGAGTTCATTAAGGCAATTGGTAAGGGTGGACAACATTGGGTTTACTGGAAAGGTAGAGCACGGTGTCATCCATGTAACAATGAAAGTGAATGTCATATTTGGGAAAAATGTAACCAATGGGAAGGAAGTAAATAACGAGGGGCTCTAGGACAAAGCCCAGGGGCACACCGGTGGTTACGGTAGATGATTTGGAAACAAAAGACTGAAGCTGGTTGAACTGAGTGTGACCAGAAATTTGGTGCCCACCMCAGCCACATCTTGTGAGATGTGCTAATGCTCAGAGTATGTTAAGGATGACTCTCAGCTACTATAAACTTTACCATATTATTCGTAAATTTGAYTTATTACATTTTTGGTGTTGGTAAAGTTTTCCTAGCTGTGAAAGCCATCCTTAATGGGGTACAGACTCCAAAGTTAATCTGTTGTAGACGTTCATCCAGTGTTTAATATTTAAGATTTTGATTTTAATTCATCCTGTGGTTCGAAAGATATTAAACTAACGGTGCARACAAAGAAACACTCATTCTGTACATGGGCAAAAACAATGTCCCCCTGCCTTCAGTAATGGGAGATAACAAAGCTTTCTAGCAGCAAGATTTCAGTTCAGMTTGTTTTTGACGGATCAGATTAACAGGCGCCGTTTCTCCACCCCTGCAGTGCCCAGTTCCTTGGGYGATGCCAGGGTTGAGGAGGTCATCCATCCATGCAACCCCAACCCATGTCCCAGCAACAACATCTGCCAGGTGAACAGAAAGGGCTGCAACGATTTGAGCAACTGTGAGCCGTATCTTTGTGAACCAGGTACACACCCCCGCCCTCACACAAACACACACACAATCCAAGTCATTTCACTCACCCGATGTGTGTGCGTGTGTCAGGGTGTAAACTGGGCGAGGCCTCAGAGTTTCTGGTGCATCAGGGCGCTCGAACACAGGTTCCAAGCTCCTCTGGTCTTGCTGGTTGTTACGAGGTGTGCACCTGTGGTCCCAGTGGGCGCCTGGAGAACTGCGTGGAGATGCCATGTGTGGAGACCAACAAGGTCTGCATCGTGGAGGGCCAGAGGAAGAGTAAGACATGTCTCTTCTTTCAGTTAGCAGAACCATATCTATAGTTCCTAAAAGAAAATGTCTGACTTGTGCTTTGTAAATTTAAGACCTAGCATTGTTTGAGGGACTGCATGTCGCCCACTGCCTTTCATACTGTGGATCGTCTTGAACTAAGAATGAGCAGAGTTATAGTTCTTTTGGTCAAACAATGTAAATGACATAATGAATGATTTCATGCAATATTATGAGATCATGTGCGATGTGTTAATGCTCAAGGGATAACTCTCAGCTTCAACTACACAAAATTTTATCTACACCTGAAGAGTTATAGCCATTTTTGTGTTAGCTAAGGTTGACTAGCTACGGTCTGCTTAGTGGTTCATGAGATATTTTGCTAACAAAATGGTTGATTAGAAATTTAGTGCAAATGTTTTAAGCAAAAATATTGCAGTGTGTAGTGCTTAGGATCAGTCTCAGCTACTACCACACTAAATCTTAGCAAAAACTTTGTAGAACTAGCTGAGTACAGCCATGTTTGCATTTTCTAATGTCAGGTGACTGTAGTGACCGTCTTATTGAGTTGACTCCAAAATTTAATTATTTGTAGATGTGTACATCCAATCAATACTTTATGAGAGTTTCAATAAAGTTTGTCCTGTGACTCATCATGACAGATTTTGATGATATGTAAGTACACACTGACACAGGCGAAAATATTTTCCACCTTTGCTTTTTGCCAGCGGCTAAACTAATCTTTTATATTAACAATAATAAATAAAGCTACAGGAGGAGTTCTGAGTCAAAAAACTTTAATAAAAACAGAAAAATACCAAGCAAGCATACAAGGAATCTTCAGTGTTTGCACAGTGACACCCTAAAACCAGTAAAATATCAGATATTTTTAACCCTAACCAGCAGTCATCTTCATCTTTAATGCCCCACCCTCAACACAATACAACACTTAGTAGCTTTAGCAGCAGAGGCTTATTTAAATGGGGGGTATTTTGTATTTTCCAGGCTTATACAGTAGTTAAATTGTATACCACAATCAAGAAATTACGTTACCTTCAGTTGTTATGAAAATGCTGGACATATAAAAAATAAATTTGACTTTGAATCATAATCTAACTAAATGCCTTGAAATTGGCCTCCCACTTCAGCACGTGGTCACAGCAATGCTTCAGGGGAGGGGTAATCTGTGTGGCACCAGCTCAGCTGCAGACTGAGAGACTGGGAGGAGCTTTGTACAAACAGGTGGTGCTTTGTACCGGCAAGTGTTTAGTGTGTTTAGTTTTACATGACTAATATGATATAAAACCCTAAAAAGACGTTTTTGCACGTTTTTACAGTACGCTCTAATAGGTTCAGTTCATTTTAATTTATCATTGTAGCAGGTTTTGGTTAAATTTTGGTTAAAAAATTTTGGTTAAGTTTTGGTTAAAAACCTTTTGTTTTTGGAGACATAAAAAGATCTTGTCCTTGCAGCGCGCTAACAAAGCTAGCAAGTAAAAGTCATGGCTGCCAGCCAACAACAAATATTAAAATCTTCTAATTGTTTTTATGTTTAATTTCACTCCTTCTGTTTAGAAGTGACTTTTTAAACGTGAACCTGTAACCATCCATCAGCAATGTTAACCTCTAATATCCAGTCTTTTGTCGGTGTTGTGTTGTTTCTATCAGACCATGGCACCTCCTTCCAGACCGACTGCAACACCTGTTCCTGCTTCGCCGGCGAAACAATCTGCTCTAACAGGAAGTGTCCCGGCTCCAGCTTCCCAGCTGCTGGTCACGTCCCTGGTTTGTCTTTTTATTGGTTTAACTGAGATTAAATTATGATTAGGTTGACCCGTCTTGTATAAGGTCAAGAAGGTTGTCAAAAAGACAAGCTGTGTTCATAAAACCAACATGTTACTGTGCTGTAACCGTTGTCTTGTTGGTGAGTCAACATTGTGAGAAAACAGGTACATTTTCATTGYGGTCACATTGAGATCTTAGTGTTTGGGACCCAGTTTAGAGCAGTTTTTGAAAATCAGAGTGTATAGCATGTAAACTATTTTCTAGACCAGGGGTGTCAAACTCCAGTCCTCGAGGGCCACTATCCTGCATGTTTTAGAGGTTTTCCAGCTCCAACACACCTGATTCAGTGATTGAATTAACTCTTCAAATTGGGCAGAAGCCTGTTAATTACCCAGCGATCAAAATCAGGTGTGTGTCATAACTTTAAGATGCATTATCGCCATCTTTTGTACTGGAGTGTGGGCCAGAGTATCTAACCTATATTCGTGAATATAGTCCTGTCT